CTACCGGCAGCAGTGGTAACCATACAATGCTAATACAAGTCCTAACGCAGCCACTGACCCATAAATCTCACTCTCGTAGCTTGTGTTTCACCACATCAGTTGCCAGAGCTCATCTAGTCATTAGTTTTTTAGTTTTTACAACCAGCAACTATGCGCTTTCGTGCGCCGGTTGTGGTTGCTGTCATATTAATCCATCACGACGAGACCTCACCTTGAACTGGTGTGATGGCTAAGTGAAGATCCAGCTAAGTTGCAAGATCTTCTGGGTTGTTTGAGTGTTGAGCATGCCACTAAATAGATCGCCTCGTCGACACCTTCATGGGCCTCTGGTTTCGTCCACCTTATTTCTCCGTAGAACGTAGTGAAAGCAAATGACATGCCTAAGAAGCCCATAGAACACATTAAGTTATACCACCCAAACAGCCGATCTCTAGTCCGCACCTACGGAGAGGAGTCTTCAGAGTTACCCTTGAGCACAGGAGTTATACAAAGCTTTTTAACTGTGCCATAGACCAACGAATGAATATTGCTCTCATTAGTTACCAATTAGTAAAACTGGGGCTGGATAACTGGATCGCGGACCTTGAGTTTACGGATACTGTGGTCGCTCTTAGAGATGTCCCGAAAAATCCACAGTCGATCCTCGATCTGGTTCGCTTTGCCAAAATATTAGTTTTGAAATAAATAAGCCCAAGAACAAAACCATTTCGACTACGGCAATCCCAGCACAACATCGGATCACAATGAACGGTGGGCCAGTGAAATTTACGCAAGCCTCTAAGTAACTCCATCCAACCCAACAGAAAAACCAAAAGCAAAATCCATACGCACGTCGATGTCGAACACCACGGTGACGCGATGAATTCAATCCATACTAAGCTGCGAGTCTGTTGTGCTGCATCTGTCATGTTCTGAAGCACGGCTGTGANGACACATGACCATTAAGCACATGAGGCATCCAAAGCCTCAAGGTTTTCAATCACTGGTTCTGTGCTGCATCCTGAGGGTAAAATGACACTATCAGTTGTGCAACAAGGAAACCTGCTGCAACTACTGTTCCATCAAAAAGTTTTCTATACTACTGCAGGATCGTCGGCTATATTTTCCGGCACCCCGCTACGAAGCTGTTGAGAAGAGTTCTCTTCCCAGCACCGTATTCGTGATGGCGCCATCACCTCAGTAATCAGTTTAAGACCAGAATCGCCATAATCGAAGAAAACATGGAGGTCTAGAAGTTGGAAACTGAAGTCAAAATGGGTATTCACTCTTCCCCGACCTCACCACTAAACGCCTCCTGTGGACAGTCATCGTCACCAGTGGAGCCAGCTCATACACAGTCAGAAGTTAGTCTTATAACAGTACAAGTTAGCATTCGCAACCACAAGCCTCTCACCTATGTGCTCGGAAAACGGTGCATCATTTGAAATGCCCTGGTTCATTTAATCTTACCTAGGACGTCTCTAGCCAGTTGGATATTTGTCAGTGATCAATCTCACGCGCATGCACACAATATCGGGTTTAGATTTCAATTGTTGTAAAGCAGGTATACCAGCCGGTCGATTTGATGCGTACGTTTTCACCAGTGTAGTGAAGGAACTAATCTATTCTTTGCATAAAAGAGAGATGGCAAGTCTCAAAAGATTCATCACTCGATCATCACCCTTCCCTTCGTGTGCTGCTTAACTGAACGATGCAATGGAAACAGCCAATTACTTGCTGCTAAATCTTTACAAGCTAACGGACAATCATAAATACTTACCATTTGACGTGCATAGATACTTCTAGTTCAGCTATAAATGAAATGTTTGCAATGGAATTCTCCAATCCGTCAGTAAAAACAAAGTCACTATTCGAAACGATAGGTTAACGTTGTCGGGTAACCGTTAGGACTCCGACAAGCTAAAAGTACACCATACAATTCACCAAAAATGTTCAGATGATGTTTTGAGCGATGTCTGGTAGTGTCCAAACTTTCCATTTTGCGATGGCCGACTGATGACTAAACAGTGGTAGGTTTGGTTTCTTTTGTCTAAGACAGCTCCGCTTATAACTCGACTCAAAAGAACTCCTAAATCGTATTAAATGGTTAGATGCTTCTCCACTCCACCTCAAGTGGTAAAAATAGTATGGTCTCACGATGGTGCAGCCTTTTTGATTTTTTAACAAGTGGTTATTTCACACAAAATGCCTCAGAATCACTGTCTACATACACATAAACTTATTCTGAGTGCTAAAACTGTGGCCTATTCATACTCACTCCATCTCAGCCGGAGTGTGCTTTAAATGAGCTCTGTTCGATTCCGTACCAAAACCGTGCTCTTTATGCATATCTAATCCCATAGTGGTTAACTGATGCTTACTATTTTCGAGGATTATCTCTTCCAGTATGCATCACTTCGTGAGTCCATTCTGACGTGAACCGTAATGCACGGTCTTGTTTTTTTTTCTTTCAAGAAAGTTACCGCTTTCACTTTCTAATCATATAGTTTGTATGATAATTTCAAGGGATAACGTTTTAATGTTTATCGCTTCGCACCGTTTTAGACCCCCTTAGAATAGTCCCATTGCTAGTGAACAACTCTAGCTCACGCAAAAGTGCCATATTTTTTGTCATTCATTCAGAACGTCGTTCATTTCATCTTTGTTAATTATGTGTTCTCCCCTATTCGACTCACTGTGATATTTTTTCCATCCCTTTCTGCCACCCCACGTGTTTACTAGTGCAAACAAGTTGCGTGCCGTACCCGTTGGATTGACTCGTTTGCGGGGATTGGCTCAGTTAAATTTGAGTAACAATGAACTGCGAAGCTTGGACGGGGATTGGAGCGGTATGGTTAATCTAGATACCATGGTATGAGATATTATCCCTCGTTTTCGGCACCCTTCTTCATGTATGCACGGATGCATGGATGCACTTTTGTATGTGATGCCTGTATCTGTGTATTCTCGTGGTTACAGGGCTCATTATTCCATTCCGTTTGGTTATTAGCACAATATTCTGTCCCGTCTGTATGTTGCATTCTCTGTTACGGTAAGTAAACCTCACTGTACCTCACTTTTCTATTGCTCCATCAGANAGTCTGTTATCACAAGTGTTCTGGTCACATAGGCCCCGTTAGGCTCCCTGGCTGGGGACTTCGGGATGATGGTCACCGATGGTTAGCTACACTGGGTGATATGGCTGGGGGTCGCAAACAGTGGCGCTCATGCATCCACTCGTTATTCTCCTAACACCACTCTATGATTCCCCATCTTCCGCTTGAATTTGCTTCGACATTCCAATCTTCATTTCGCTCTTTTATCCAAATGGGCGACCAAAACCGGCGCGCGAAAGTGCACGGTTAATGGTTGTAACAATTGAACTCAACAGAAAAAATGTTCTGCAACTGATTCGATGTCGATTTCACGTGGCTCGGACGCATCCATCCTGAGCTCATTTAATTTCTGATCATTGTCAGTGACATGTTGAAACTGTTTCGATTCCGTGGCGGATCAACTGCTGATTTGCATTAACTGTTACGTTTCCACTATGCTTTCTGTCTGTATGGGGGATATTGACAGAAAGAGATTTTGCTATCGACTGGTTGGTAGACTTTCATTGTATTGACATGTCATGAAAGAGGATAATGAGCTAGTTTTAGTGAATACTGATCTTGATTATTCCGGGTGTTTTCACTGACCCTCGGGTTCGCACACTGTCGTTCTTCCAGCTCAGTAATAAAGATTTCAGACCCCGGAATGGTACGCATCACTGGTAATTCCCAGCAGCTGCCCAATGCGCTTTTTCAACTACTACACATTATTTCACCCATAGAGACCCAATTAGTGCGCAAAAGATCTTGTGAGCTTTTAGTTTCAGTTTGTACAGCCATTACCCATGTACTTTCATGTGCCGGTTGTGGTTTCTGGCTTTTGGACGCCCATTTGGAATACCTTGTGAGCCCCTTAACAGATCTATCGCTTAAACTCCGGTGGAACTGCGAAAATCTGGAAACCCTAATTGATGGACCTTTCTACACAGCGATGAATGTTACATGTCATCAGCGGTGCGATGGGAGTTCAGTTAGTGGTCAATCTGCTCGCACCCCCACTTGGGTTCATTTGATCATGCCCACGACAGTCTGTCATCTGTCACTGATTGTTGTTTTCCTGGCCTGTCTAACGGTCATATATGAATGGCGATATTTTTGGGACTCTGCCTGTAGACCGAATAATGTTGAGTCGTGTTCGATCTGTGCCTGTTTATTTTGTGATCACTTTTAGAACGCACTGTACAAAAATGTGCTACTTCTAAGGTGTGTTCAAAGGTTTGCTGGGCGGTTGATTGACCGAATTCACCAATGCAGTTCGCCTTTTTCGAAATCCTACCTTCATCTTCCGATTTTTTTTCTGTTTTCTTTCCGAAACCTTTTGATTGTGGCTAAAATGTTCATTTCGGAAATCGTTTGTATCTTTGTCGTGCATAAAGGGCATGAGTGAAGCACTGAAGACCACTTGTGTTCTTAAGGATGACTGAACACTGTCTTTTTCGCAAACCCGAGTTTTGTGATTGACTTCGTCACTCATTCCCTCATGGACATGTTCAGGGAATGTTCATGTCACCAATTTTTTTCACTTGCGCTTTTCCTTACCCTGTCTCTCAGGACTTGTCGGATAATCGATTGTGCAGTTTTCCCGATCGATTTCCACCGCACGTTCGTCGTTTGAGCTTAAACAATAATCGTTTGGATGAATTACCTGCCGGGTTTCTGGATCAAGTTCCGGGTCGGTTTGTATTCCAATCTCTTTCACACATATGCACTCGTTCATATTCGCTGTTACGTTTGAGCAGAATATGAGTTGGTTTTCACTCCGTTCGCGATTATTGTGCTCTCGTTTTATTCTCACTTACTTGCTTTACTTTACAGCGAACGGCTCCTGGGATAGGATAAGCTGACATCATGGATATTTCATGAAATTTCTTGGTGGTTAGATACAGGAAACGTCACCCGGCTTTAGGTTGAGGTATCATCTTTAGCCTTTGCACATCCAAGTACTAACTGCAAGGTGCAAGGAAGATAACGCATGGTTATCGATGACCCTCTGGAGGGATAGGGACTTATACGCCATTAATCTTTTTTAACTGAACAAAGGTGCGTGCATCCCTGTTGAGTACGGAGTCATTGCCTTGACCGTTTAATCGTGTAAGCGACCTCGTCCGCCCAACGCGCTAGCACCGTATTCATTCGTGAGAGACCGACTCGGAATGAGTTGATCTCCTGGTTATCCTCAACCTGGTTTGGCTCGCCTGTCGGTCGGTTAGCCGGGGTGTTTCCGTTGTTGTGTATAGATAGCTTCTTGGAGCAACAAGACCTGAGCTCCTGATGGAGGATGCCCCAAAGGGCCCGACATCCCTCATCGGAGGTGCTAATCCAACCGAGTACCCCGTACACCACATCTTGTTCTACGGTCCTTCTCTTGTCGAATATTGTATGTGATCTAGAAAGACGTTTTATCACATTACGAAAAGCGAAAGCTAGAACAGCTTTTGCCAACCTGAGACACTTGTGGCGTCGCCATGACATCCGTTTATCCATTGAGAGAAGAATGTACATCGTCACGGTTCGTTGTGTTTTACTTTACGATTGTGGGGACAGGCCCCTCCACGTTGAGGATGCTAATCGAATTTCTGTATTCGACCACCGATGTCTCCGAAGTATTGCTTGTGTCTGGTATTAACATAGGGGGTTATCGCGTGTTAGGTATGCATAGTCGCTTTCGCTATTCGTGATATGATCTCCTCAACGCCAACACCAGCTGTTATCAAGCTCCCGAGGTGCTTAAAGCTCTCAATACTTCCAGCTGATCACCACAGAGGGTGAGTGCCGGCACAAGCTCCTGTCCATCTTGAACCACCACTTTGCACTTGGAAGGTGCAAAGCAAATGCCATACCTGGATATCTCGATCGTCAAGCGATTCAAAGCGTTTTGGACTGCCTGTGTATTGTCACCCAGCAAGGCGATGTCATCGGCATATTCCAAGTCAAGGATTCTGTTCCCTGGGAGGAGTTCAACTCCACCATTTGCTAGACCGTACAAAGCATTCTGTAGAACATCCTCTCTGAAAAAGGGGAAAAGAAATGGGGATATAGGACAACCTAACCGAACTCCACTGGAGACGACAAAGGGTGGCGAAAGTTGGCCATAGGCCCTAACCCGACGACGATACAACTCTTTGAGGATTGACAAATACTTCTCAAGTACACCATTCTTCAACAAACAGTTCCATAGTGAAGTCTTATCGACAGGGTCCAAGGCCGCACGGATGTCTAAGAATACAATGATTGTTGGTCTTCGTTAGGTGTGACGGTGCTCCAGCAGGTGTCGGAGGGTGGAGATTTGATCGATGCATCCAAGAACGGCACGAAACCCAGCCTGCTTCTCACGCATGGTGCACAGTTGGCGGAGAATGACGGACGCCAACAGCGTTGACACTATTCGGATAAGGCTTATTCCGGCGCCATAGTTGCGCGGGCCTTTTTAAGAATGGGGACGACAATCGATTCCCTCCACGAGGAGGGGACCTGTTCAGTGTTCCAAACTTTAGGGAACAGAACTTGTAGTTCTCTTACAAGCGTTGTACCACCATTTTTTGATAGTGCAGAGGAAGGCCATCGGAGCCCGGCGCTTTGGTACGTCCCAAGGCTTGGATCTCACTGCGCCCAACCCACTGTCGACTGGTATCCAGCCCAGGAAGACGGCTTCAGCTCTCTCACTGAGAGGCAAACCGACGCCAGCAAGACCGGAAGCCGCAGATTGAGGGTCCCCAGGTAGGCGTAAATGAAACTTCACAGATTGATTAGATGTGGACGTCAATCGGATAATGGAGCTGAAGTCCTGAATGCGAGTTTCTTGGACGCAACACAACGATGGCTAGGGTTTCGCGCGCCTGTTGTCCTATATGCATCAGAGTACGCACATTAAACGTAGCTGGTTTGAAAGGACATTGAGGGCGGAGAATGGCTTCAGCTGGTGGATGATTCGGTGGAACTTGGATGCTAGTCAAGGTAGGACAAAAGCGAACGGAGACAGAATTTCCACCCGAGGCACTACTGTTAGTAAGATCTGTCTGAATTACCCTAGAGAGATGGTTCAGAGTTGGGAGGGAGAGGGTAGAGATGAGCTGGAAGAGGCTGGGAGAACAAGAGGGTGTGTACGGTGTAGAATGTCTTTCGATTGATGAAGGTTCGGAGGGCGAATTCATGAGAGCAGGAACGTTCATAGTTGTTTGCGTTGCGAGCTATTGTACTATTCGGTCGCCCAGTTCAGAGTAGGCCGTGTTCGAGGATGCACTCTGGCCTTTGCGCAATCAATCGCGAACTGTAAGGCAGCAGTGAAGTTCCAGATGGGCCGGTGGTCGTTTTTTCGGTTCATTCACCTCTTCTGGAAAACCTTGTCGGGCACTGGATCTCGACAAGGGACACACTCGTCACGTCACAGCGCTGTCCACAGATATTTTGTGTTTTGTGCGGAGAACCCTTGCCAGGAGGTAGACCTACCACATCCTCGAGCGCTGCCGCTGATCGTCCACGACCGCTTATTCGAAGGTCCAAAGCCCATCTTATTCAGGGTTATCCGCGAGATGACGGCCGTTTCCCTTTTCGCGACCTGGGGACGCGCTCGGTAACACACAGCTCTGCTATCCTGAGGTTCTCGTTATTCATTTAAACTGTCTGGCTCCCCAACCCCCATGTTCTGTTATTCTTGTTGTTGCGTTGGTACCAAGCTTGCCCGCAAGCCGCCGATATATATATATATATGCCATTCAATATTGTTCTTTTTGTTTTCTCACATCCTGACGGAACTGTGGTGAGTTTTATTTGCTGGTATTTTGTATTGTCCCTCAGCACCAGAGACCATGATCCTCAGTTAACCACTCTATTCATATGCCTACCCACCTCCATAAACTCACATATATACAGGACTTCAATCATTGGATATATCGTCTAATGCACTGAAGGAATTGGTCCTGTTGGATACCTCGCACGGAGCCAGTTACGAGTATCAGTTGGTCACATTACGCGGCGGCTTTAACAGACTCATTGAATTGCCTTTTCTGGTTGGGCTGAAATCACTCAAGGTATGTCCCACCAACGCGATACCGCTAGACGTGCGAATCGTCTAAACGCCATCAAAAGGGACTTTTTAGTATTAAACAACTTCCTCCGATTGATAAATCACTTTCAGGAACGGGGTGGGATGAAGCTATTCTAGTACTACCTTGAGGCACGGAAGGCGAATATAGGGTAGCTGCGACAATGGCCGTGGAATGTGAATGGTCAACCTCCAGGTTTGATGTGAAGTCAACCTAACCTACTGAACCACTGCCACTCAAGTTTACCGGGGTCAAATTGTGGCTTATTGATCCTGTCGGCTCCTCTTTTCTGTATTCTCTTTCGAAGACTTGACAAGGCATACCTCCTGTGACAGGGGGGAACGCACCGTGAAACCTTTTTGTCTGCGCGTATTCTGAATTGTGCGTGCCTCTAACTAAAGTTTTACGAAGAGAATTATAGTCAATCTCCAGCTATGTCGCACTCCTCTAGAATTCGATAAAGTGGGTAATTTCCATTAACTGCGACGTAGCATGTTAATCAGTAGTATATGGTGTTAAGTAGCATGGAAAATCGGTTGGAAGTTTTGCGATAAAATAAACCGGATCGACGAGAAGTACGTCGATTCCGTTACTTGTTCCCAATGTTTATGATTATGTAATGCTTATTTATAACGGAATTTCAATATCCCGTCCTAATTATCCTTTTTGTATCCAAGAAATTGAAATTTCTTAGGATGCCCTCAGCTTAATATTAATACAGTGCATCCGGTATTCAGCTCTTTTTCAGTTTCTACCTTCTAGTTATCCCAAACCCACTTGATTTTCCTCAGAGACATTTCTCCATTCCTTTGCAATGCTAGGCTAACTACAGAATTGAGTATATGGCATCCGCCATAATATGCAACTGTTTTAGCGATAATGATCACATCATTATTAGACCATTCAATGAAGACAGAAATGAACCAGGTGGAAATGCAGTTAGAACAAGGGACAGCAGATCGCATTCGGAAGACCTCACGTCATCTAAAATAGGTGAAATGTCTTTTTCGTACATATTACAAATTTATTGTTCGCCATACATATTATTCATGATTTTCTGCTGGAAATTGTGTGCCATTAGCGTCTGTAGATATCCATTGGTTCGTTTGCTTTTGTTGTGGCCAATGTATGTTCAAACATCGATATATTCGTTATGGCCAGTGTTGGTAAACATAAGTGACGGATTAAGTTCGACACGTGATGACGTGATTCACAGATTATATTGTATCGCTCGAACAGTCAGGGGCGAGTTATACCCGAGTTACGATGACCTCTAACCAGCGATCTGTCTAAGTTCGTCTGTGCTCAGGCAAGAACAAATACGATTATCATACATTCATTGATACAGGTGCGTCCTCCGCTTGACGGCGGTTATCCATCGCTGAAATCTGACATCTCACTCCACACATCCGCTCGCCAACCAATCGCGATTATTGTTCACCCGTTTGCACGGTTATACGACAGAGCCCTACCGAATGGTCGTGGTTTTGGTGACCACTGCAACAAAAATGACCACATTCGAGTGCCTCACCGAATTGCAGGTTAAAACCTCTGCAGATTACAAACATAAATGTTTAGCAAAATCGTAAATCGTCGTTTGTCTCAGATTGGCTCTCCTTAGGGAATCAATTCTACACTCCAGTGATCCACCCAAAATCCGATCATTGACCGAGGCAGACGGCTTCAATCGATCTAGTGTTTTCTGTGCTTCTTTAATTGAGATGACTTCCGACGCATTCGCTGCTTCACATTCATCTTTACAACGTTCACCTTGGTTCGAAACCGATTCATCTAAAAACTAAAAGAGAGACACATGATACAAAATTTTAAACACGGTTAATAATGTCTTGAATCGGATCTCATTTATCCGCTGGTGGCTGTATATGTTATCATTAGATTTCACACTTGCCTGAGGACAGACTGTGTGCGAAGAAAATCATGGTACAATATTCTTTATAAAAAGAAAGACGTTTCATGATTTGCATGTGGGCTGAATACTGCCAGGTTGCCCAGGCCAAGGCTTTTCAAATCAGGGTTTTTAGCCAACTCCCCTAGGTAAACTGCCAGTGGTCCACCAACCCGGTTATAGCCCTGGATATCGGCTTTTCGTCCTCAACTAACGGACCAGGGAGTGATTTTGTCTTTAAATGTTCGGTTCGGAAGTTTTACTTGAGTGTTTTGTCTGTGATCGAAGATAAGCAAACTAGGCATTAACGCCGAAGTGGACATCCTCATAAGCATGCATCTGGTCAAGAAAGCTCGGTTGTCTGTGAATTCCCGCGCACTGATCAACGCTCTCACAAACGCTCGGTCCAAACCTACATTGAAACAGGCGACGATGTGGCCACCGCCTCTGAATGGTCGGGGTGTGTGTGTCTAAGTTTGCGGCTGGTCACCATTCTCTTGCACCTCACGAAATG